ACTCTTGTGGGACACTCTTGTAGGACACTCTTGTGAGACACTCTTGTAGAACACTTGTGTGGGTCACTTGCAGGACACTCTTGTGGGACACTCTTACACGACACTCTTGTAGGGCACTCTTGTGGGACACTCTTGTAGGACACTCTTGTAGGAAACTCTTGCGGGACACTCTTGTGGGACACTCTTGTGGGACACTCTTATAGGACACTCTTGTGGGACACTCTTGTGGCACACTCTTGTAGGACACTCTTGTAGGACACTCTTGTGGGTCACTCTTGTGGGAAACTCTTGTGCGCCACTCTTGTAGGACACTCTTGTGGGACACTCTGTGGGACACTCTTGTGGGACACTCTTAAAGGACACTCTTGTAGGACACTCTTGTGTGTCACTCTTGTAGGAGACTCTTGTGGGACACTCTTGTGGGACACTCTGCGGGACACTCTTGTGGGACTCCTTGTGGGACACTCTTGTAGGATACTCTTGTGGGACAGTCTTGTAGGACACTCTTGTGGGACACTCTTGTAGGACACTCTTGTGGGATACTCCTGTAGGACACTCTTAAGGGACACTCTTTTGAGACACTCTAGTGGGACACTGTTGCGGGACACTCTTGTGGGACTCTCTTCCAGCTCCCCAGATACTCCGCGTACTAAAGTTGTACTACAAGGTCGCCAGTTCTCAGCTTCCAGCTCCCCAGATACTCCACGCACTACAGTTGTACTACAAGGTCGCCAGTTCTCAGCTTCCAGCTCCACAGATTGCTCCGCGTACTCAAGTTGCACTACAAAGTCGCCAGTTCTCAGCTTCCAGCTCCACAGATTGCTCCGCGTACTAAAGTTGTACTACCAAGTCACCAGTTCTCATCTTCCAGCTCCCCAGATACCCCGCGTACTAAAGTTGTACTACAAAGTCGCCAGTGCTCGCCTGCATTTCGCGCGCTCGACACGCACGATCTCCGCAGAGGGTTGCGCGGGCACCGGACAAATCGCATTCTCGCCTGCATTTCGCGCACTCGACGCGCACGATCTCCGCAGAGGGTTGCTCGCGCATGGGACAATTCGCACTCTCGCCTGAGGGTTGCGCGCGTATGGGACAAATCGCACTCTCGCCTGCATTTCGCGCACTCGACGCGCGCGATCTCCGCAGAGGGTTGCGCGCACATGGGACAAATCGCACTCTCGCCTGCATTTCGCGCACTCGACACGCACGATCTCCGCAGAGGGTTGCGCGTCAAGTCTCCAAAAACGAGCGTTTCGTACAAGACTTCCTCAAAAACTCACACGTCAAAGTCTGCAAAACGAGCGTTTCGTACGAGACTTCCTCCAAAAGTCAAGCGGAAACACCCATCGGAGCACACACATCACGCGGCCCTGCCAAGCAGTTTCGCGATTCCAGCCCCTCCAAACAACGTCCGCTCACACGCCAATCCCAATGGGACAGCGACATTCACCTCTACCACAACTCACAACCTCACGATTCCCTGCGCCTGCCACGAATCTTTCCCCATCCACACGTCTAACGCGCACAAAGTACTGCGCCTGCCACGAAATGTCACCTCCCTCACACCTCGCAACCACACGATTCCCTGCGCCTGCCACGAGAATCGCACTTCCACGCTTCAAAGCCCGCACGAAGTCCTGCGCCTGCCACGAAAAGTGACAATATCATCGCGTGTGAGCTTCAACAAAATTTGCACCACACCACACGTTTGGAATGATTTCGACCCGTTCAGAGCACACTCCCATCCACCAAAATCGCCATTTCAGCTGAGACTTGTCACGAAAACAGAGCTTCGATGCCACACCCTGAAACGCAAATCCCAATGGCACGGCCACATCCAACACCCCAAAAATACGACTCTCCAAACGCTAATCCCAATGGCACTGCGCAGCAAACTGCGGATCTCACAAAACGCTGCGCCTGTGCAGCGAAATGCATCACGTTTCTTGCGCGACATCTCCATGTCACGCAAATCACAATGGAATAGCGGCGCTAACTGACACGTGACACATCCATGAAAAGTCACTTGCAAAAGCTTCCCCCAATGGCAGCGAATTTGAGACGCGACGACGACGACACGACGACGACAAACGACGAGAGACGACGACAGACGACGAGAGACGACGACACGACGCAAGCCATGCAAACACATGTCCAACCCCCACACCCCCAACTATAAACGGGAACCCTTCGCTACGCATTCGGGAAAAAGTGAAGGGACTTAGACTTAGACACTAATGTACTTTGTTTTGACGGATCATTCTCAGTTTCTCTGATCCAATGCGTTATGGGAATAGTCTGGGTTCAGCCATTTGCCAGTCTAAGAAGCAATGACATATATATTTCCATGCTGATCATGCTGTGTACTACTTCATTTATGTAACTTGCTGAAGGACGTTTTGTGTCTTGTCTTTGTCACCATTCACCAGACAGCTGCATTGCTTCATTAAAGCCTATCGCTTGGCATCCATGCAACGTCAACTCATTGGTCGCAGCAGATGGCACAATTGACGCCACCAGTGGAGTGGAAGGGAGCAACTGTGACTGCTGGAGTGGGAGGGAGCAGCTGTCAGGCCGAAAGCAGCTTGCAGGCAGACCGCGAGGCGGAAAGCATGATGCATATTTTGGATGGATTGTTTGGTGATGGGATGCAGCACGGTGGGTGCCTTTCGAGAGTAGATGGGGTTGTGAATAGAATGTCGAAGCCATCACAACTGGAAGTTTGTTTGTGTGAAGTTCGTTGGATTGGTCACGGCAGCGCAAGTTGACAGCAAGCTGCAGGTAGTTCTTGAAGCCGTCCAAAGTGTATGATGCTCAGAAATCATGAGATGGTCGCACAGGGGATTTTGCTCTGGGGTTCTTCGCATTACGTGTTTTGCTGTCCCACAGGCCCAGAGAGGTTGTATTTTGGATAGACTGATAGACATCTATCTACCTATCTATCTATCTATCTCACATATATATATATATATATCATATATATATATATATATATCATATATATATATATATATATATCATATATAGATATCATACACATATACATATATACATCATACATACATATATATATAGATCATATATATCATATATATACAGATGCTTTTAATGCAAACAAGCGGCAGCAGTATTGCTTTAATCCTCACCTGGAAGAGAGATTCTGCTCGAGGATGGCACTGCCCTCTCATATGCTGCACCAGTGCTCTGGCGTTTTAAAAACATGCGCACCTGTGTTTTCTACCCCCACGGCGCACCGCACGGCGGACGCACTTGCAGGTACTTCAAGCGGACAAGAACTTTGTCCTGTCTGCCATTGGCCCGAGCCTCAAAAGGACCGGGATCTATCAAGAAATGGAGAAAAAGAGATGGGAAGGGACTTATTAAGAGGGCCTGACCTTCATTTTCTCTTCTCTATTCCTACATGGATGACTTGTGATTATTGCCTTCTCATTCTTGCCGCCTTCGACTCGTCCTTGTCCATGTTGTTGTGGGGTGTAAGGCCGGAATAGCAAGGCTGGACAAGAGCAGTGGTGTTTGAGAAAGCAACATCGACTTAAATTTTGCCTAGCTAGCTCCCTTGAATTTATTGTTTTCTGGGCGGCTATTCCAGACACACTTCGTTCTTGTACTCCTTACCCTATTCCTTGGAAATACAGTTACCTTGGTGAACGGAAAACCTGTTTTCTGCTACATGCAGGCGCTGCTTGTCACGGTTTGCGACCTAGATTCATAGCTTTGGACGACTGCAGACTTTGATTTCTTAAATGCTGGGGTTCCTCCTTGAAGGTACCAGAATGGCAGAATGACTTCAACTTCGCTTTAGATGCTGTGAAGAGGATCGTCTTTGTTCAAGTTCAAGTCTATCCTGCTTACACTCTGCCAGCATGACTCTATCCTGAAGGAATGCATCTGCACTTGCTCTTTTGGCACCCCACTTTCAGGAGGAGTTATTGATAGTTTCTGATAGTTCATTGGCATGGATCGAGTATCATAGCAGCAACTTGTGCAATCTGAGATCGGCCAAAGAAGACCATGCGTCTTCTTCCGTTTGAAGGACCGTGAATTTCTCCTGGCCGCACTTGCGCGGAATGGTGATATGCTTCGGTATGTTCATGAGCCGCAATCCCAATCAATCCTGTTGTTTGAGGCGTCCCTTTGGAACCTAGGCTAATGCAGACAGTTTTTCGGGCTGATTGGATGTGCTCAGGTCATTTAAGGGCGACCAGCAACTGATCCTCTCTGCAATCGAATCAGTTCGGATCTCAGAGCAAAGGGGTCCTCCAAAATACTGTAAGGGAGTGCATGGCAAGATAATATTGTTTGACAAAAGTGTACTGTATTGGTGTGTAAATTATGTATATACATATATATATATATAGTTCTTAATGTAGTATTTTCACACTTGAATTGTGTGTGATCATGAAATGCCCAACCAATTCACGCTCAAACAGCTGATGGCTCGAAGGACAGCGCGGCACTTCGCTATGTTGATGAAGCCCTTCGCAGAGACCGAGAATTCGTGCTTGACGCAATACAACGAAATGCTGAGGCCTTGCTGGGGTCGTCTTGTTGGAATGGACAAGTCTAGTTTGAGCATCTGGACCATACATGCCAGTCTAGTTTGGAGTTTGGACCACGATACATCACGATGCTCACGTTGCAAGGTACTTCCATATATAGTTGATTCCCTTCAAGAGGCACCAAGCAACTTCTGATTTCATGTGATTTGATGCAATTTGTGTTGGATGATGACTTGAAACGAAGTTTCTCTGCCAGGATCCTGACTTCATGCTTGAAGCCGTTGGCCGCAACTTCTGGTCGTGAAGCTCAGGAAGGTCCTTGGTGGTGACACCTCTGGGGTGCACTCCGTTTTCCATCCAAAGAGGAACAGGCTGAAACCGGGTAACCTTTGAGACCAGAAAATTCAGAAACAGCTTGCCAAGGGTGCTGAAACGTGCGAATCGGTCCCTTCGGTAAAGAGCTGAGTGGCATGCAGATGAGTTTCGATGAGCACTTTGCAGTGCGTTGCCTCACATCAAATGGTCCATAAACATGTGTGCAGCAAAACACCCAGGCACAACTCGGACTTCATGCTCAGCACTTTGAAAGCCAATGGAGCTGTTGCTGGTATTCTCCAGTTGGTGGGCTCTGAGCTTTGGGAGGACATGACTTTGCGGTTGCCAATTAGTATCACAAGAAGCCAGGAACACTTTACACTTTTGACTTTGAGGACCGCAATTTCGTTCTTCATGCCATGTCCTCGGACTTTCATTCAATTGACAGCTTCCTGATTGAAGCCCAAAGGGTAGTGTAACCGTGATGAAGCATGTAACATGGCTGAGCCAAAAGCAAAGTCGCCCAGGCGACCGAAGTCTTTGGCGAGGCATTGCGCTTCGCTTCTGATGAACTGCAGAAGGAGCGAGGTTTCGATCGACTTGGGGCTCTGAGGTGCACCTTTTTACGACTCTAAATATCCATGTGGGGCAGGGTATCTTCATTCTTTTTTCCGGCGTCATATCACCTACTGGAACAATTGTTTGTAATAACTTCTACTGAATGACTTGCTTGTTCTCAGGCTGAGTGTTGTGCTGCTCTCTACCTATTATTTATGTTGGATGCTGTATGTACTGCTTATCCACCTTGAATGTATGTAAAAAGCTTTTGTCAGAGCTGCTTCTCAGCTCTGGGATGGATTGACAGTGGCTTCCTATCAAGGTGCCAATTACTGTGTATTACTATTCCATCAACTGAAGGACACCAGAATGATATCATCAATTTATCTCACAGGTAGTCAGATCAGATCGAAATGGTTTCCAGTTTCCAGGGGGTACTCTCAGTAGGTTCTGCCAGGGGGGGCCAACAAGACACCGTACATTACAATGGACCCTGCAGACCCCAACCCCAAAGCAGAGCATGCCAGGGTACTTAGAGCGATCCAAGAGTCTCGTAGAGGCTAAAGGAAGCTCGGCTCAAGTCGGAGACATGCTTCATCATCGTAGACGTGATCTCTGTAGACGTGGTGGACATGTTGATTGACCCTTTGCGGCTTCTTGCAAGGCTGCGACCACTCCGACACCGCAACAAATTTGGGCTTTACGAACGCTCAATGCGGTGACCCATATGTCGTGCATCTGAAAGGCAGTGTGAGAAAGTAGGTTTTATCGGAGACTCTTTATGGACGTGCAGGCTGCTCTGAACCTTCGAGTTCATGCGGTGAGAGGTCCAGCTCCACCTGATTTCCAATGTGACGACTGCCTTGCCTGCAACGCTATTCAAGGAAGTTTCCTAACCACTCCATGTGCCAAGCAGACGGAGGATTTGGACTCAAAAAACTACTGAGCCTAACGATAGTGCGCTCCCATGAACCGCTCTCAAGTGAATTGTCGATGTGATTGGATCATGTGATGATAGACAAGCTCCCATATTTTCCGGTTTTTACTTCGACATCATTGGCACTTGGCCAATGATAGCTGGAGCAGTCCTGAAGACTCGGCAGCCTGCATGCAGCTGCGTGAGGCTAAAGGGATCATTGATTGGGCCAGACAGTTGCTGAGTGCTTCAGAAACACCTGGAAGTCATCACCTAATTTTGGCGTTTGATTGGTGTTGATTGGTGTTGATTTTCGTTGATCGCATTTGATACCGAACATGCTAACGAGGAAAGAACGTGTAATCAGGCCAACTAAGCAAGCATGGCAGATTCTGTTGCACACTCGTGCATCTCACCGCAATGCGATAGGATTGCAGGCTCAAACTAGGGAAGGGTGGAGCTGTGGTGAGAAAACTTGTAAAATGAGGGCCACGGGCTTTCGATAAGTACAGCAGTGCGAGCTGCCATCTCACGACTCATTCAACACTCACGCCGGAATGGTATGTCTTGAATGATTCGCAGTTCTTGGAGACAGGACAAGAACTTTATCATCAATGCCTCCACCTCAGTTTGTTCAGCTTGTTCAGACTAGGAGATGAGCGACTTCGAATGTGGCTCCAGGTTCTGAAGAGGAATGGTATGGCACTCCCCTTCGTCACGGAGCTACGGAAAGATGAAGAGGCGCACCTTCGTCGGGTGCTGTTTTCGGTGGGCATGGGCCCGGCGTCGTAGTTGTCCCAGGTGGCCTTGGTAGCAGTGCAGAGTCGTCCTGAAGCAATGCGCCATGTGCATGAGGCGGGGTAAGACAAAATGGGTGAGACCGGGAACAGCGATTTTAGCATAAACCTAGTCTATTCTGGGCGTTTTTCCTCATTCTGCTAAGAATCAGGGCAGCACTTGACCAAGTGAGCTGCATTCTTCCGACCACAAACCACAAGCAGGAAGCCAACCTAGTTCCGTGATGCTCCAAGCACGTGCTTGTAGGGCGGCAGTCATCACCCAGATCAGGCAGGAATAGCATGTTCTGCCAGGACTGCCGCCGAAGTCGGGCCTTTATTCTCAAGGTGGTGGGCAGGACTGAGAGGTTGTGAAGCACTGGTAATGTCCATTGGGAGGTTCGAGGTAGAAGCTTCTTCCGTTCTAGCTGTGTTGGTTGCAAGCTGATTGACAGGCCTTCTTCGAACACCTTTGCTTAACTCACATCAGGACTGGAGCTTCCTTGGCCTATGTTCCTGAGCAGTTTCGCAAAGATCGCGAGGCCTGCAGTCTGTCTTTGTCTGGCAAAGATAGTTGCAATTGTTCCCATTTGTTACTCTGTTTGAGCATTGTTGATTCAGGTTGCTTGAAGGATCTTGAAGCAAATCTTTGCAGTGGTTTGAAACCTGCGCTCCTAGTCTTTCAAGATACCTAGCCTCTAGCCTCATGCTCGCCTTGTCTTCAAAACCAGCTATCCCAGCTATGCATGCCCCTGTATCCATATAATATATGCATACATGTTCAATATGCGAATATATGTGCATATAATATATGTGGATATGTGTGCATCTATGTGCATAGGTGGTAAGCCCTTCAACATCGAAAGAGGCATCAAGAAGATACAATCTTTGGCGGCGAAGCATTTGTTGCTCCAAGTCCTGTTGCACGGGCCTCACATGCCTTCCATCTTGAGAGGTGGTGCTGGCTGCTGTACAGCAGGATGGCGTAGCCTTAGCTTATGCCTCGGCCCAACTGCAGAGCAGTCGCGAGGCGCTTTTTTGAGTGATTCAGTATCATCTCCAGGCAAAAGCTATCAAACGATATCGAAACCTATCTTCTCTCAATGACTCTTCATACAAGTAGACTGCGCAAATGCGTTACTTGGAAGTCAACGGATATGTGGGCATGGGATCATGCTTGGAGGTGGCACTAGCGGCCATTGAGCGGAATGCAAATGCAGCTATTGACATGAGCCTGTGGCAGGCAAGGAGCTCGTTCTATCAAGTCAGCTAGGAATGAATAGGAGCATACCAATAATATGTATTTTGTTCGAGACACAACCGTGGCACAACCCAACAGGAATTGTGTTGTCTAGTACTCGTAGGCTTCAGTTCGTTTTTCGTTTTCCATTGCGCCATGAGGCCTCATGAGGCACTCCCATTGTTCCCCCTTGTCATGAGTCTACTGTCCTCCAGGACCGGGATTTCGCGCTTGCAGCCATTGAGCGCAACAGCGAGGCAAGAAAGACTTAACGCCCAACATCACCCAGCACAGCTGGTGTAAAAAGCCCAAGTTGTTACACTTACTACTATTTACTATGGAGTCTTTCAAGCATAATTCCCGAATGCGTAGCGAAGGGTTCTCGTTAAAACTTGGGAGACTGAGGGTAGAGCTGTGTTTGCCCGACGTTGTTTTCGAGTTCGCAACCGTTTGCAACCGTCCGCAACCGTTTGCAACCGTCCGTATGATGTCTCTATGGCCCTGCCATTGGGGGAAGCTTTTGCAAGTGACTTTTCGTGGATGTGTCACGTGTCAGTTTGCGCCGCTATTACATTGTGATTTGCATGAGAATGACATGTCGCGCAAGAAACGTGATGCATTTCGCTGCACAGGTGCAGCGTTTTGTGAGATCCGCAGTTTGCTGCGCAGTGCCATTGGGATTAGCGTTTGCAGAGTCGTGTTTTTGGGGTGTTGGATGTGGCCGTGCCATTGGGGCTTGCGTTTCAGGGTGTGGCATCGAAGCGCTGTTTTCGTAACAAGTCTCAGCTGAAATGGTGATTTTGGTGGATGGGACTGTGCTCAGAACGGGCCGAAATCATTCCAAACGTGTGGTGTGGTGCAAATTTTGTTGAAGCTCACATGAGATGATATTGTCACTTTTCGTGGCAGGCGCAGTACTTTGTGTGCGGGCTTTGAGGTGTGGAAGTGCGATTTTCGTGGCAGGCGCAGGGAATCGTGAGGTTGCGATGTGTGACGGAGGTGACATTTCGTGGCAGGCGCAGTACTTTGTGCGCGTTAGACGTGTGGACGCGGAATGATTCGTGGCAGGCGCAGGGAACCGTGAGGTTGTGAGTTGTGGCAGAGGTGAATGTCGCTGTGACATTGGGATTGGCGTGTGAGCGGGTGTTGTTTGGAGGGGCTGGAATCGCGAAACTGCTTGGCAGGGCTGCGCGATGGGCTCCGATGGGTGTTTCCGCTTGACTTTTGGGGGAAGTCTCGTACGAAACGCTCGTTTTGCAGACTTTGACGTGTGAGTTTTTGAGGAAAGTCTCGTACGACACGCTCGTTTTGGAGCCATGACGTGTGACTTTTTGAGGAAGTCTCGCACGAAACGCTCGTTCTGGAGACTTGACGTGTGACTTTTGGAGGAAGTCTCGTACGAAACGCTCGTTTTGGAGACTTGACGTGTGATTTTGGAGGACGTCTCGTACGAAACGCTCGTTTTGGAGACTTGACGCGTGACTTTTGGAGGAAGTCTCGTACGAAACGCTCGTTTTGGAGACTTGAGTGTCTAGCAGAGTGTCCTGGAAGAGTGTCCAGCAAGAGTGCCTAGCAAAGAGTGCCCAGCAAGAGTGTCTAGCAGAGTGTCAAGCAAGAGTGTCTAGCAAGAGTGCCCAGCAAGAGTGCCAAGCAAGAGTGTCAAGCAAGAGTGTTTAGCAAACAGTGTCCAGCAAAGAGTGTCAAGAAAGATTGTCTAGCAAAGAGTGTCAAGAGAGAGTGTCAAGCAAGAGTGTCCAGCAAGAGTGTCTAGCAGAGTGTCCAGCAAGAGTGTCAAGCAAGAGTGTCAAGAGAAAGTGTCAAGAAAGATTGTCTAGCAAAGAGTGTCAAGAAAGAGTGTCAAGCACAAGTGTCAAGAAAGATTGTCTAGCAAAGAGTGTCAAGAAAGAGTGTCTAGCAAGAGTGTCAAGCAAGAGTGTCCTGTCAAGAGTGTCCAGCAAGAGTGTCTAGCAGAGAGTCAAGCAAAGAGTGTCAAGAAAGAGTGTGACGCAAGAGTGTCCAGCAAGAATGTCTAGCAAAGAGTGTCCAGCAAGAGTGTCCAGCAAACGTGTCAAGCAAGAGTGTTAAGATAGAGTGTCTAGCAAAGAGTGTCAAGAAAGAGTGTCTAGCAAACAATGTCAAGAAAGAGGGTCAAGCAAGAGTGTCTAGCAAGAATGTCTAGCAAAGAGTGTCCAGCAAGAGTGCCCAGCAAACGTGTCAAGCAAGAGTGTCTAGCAAAGAGCGCCCAGCAAACGTGTCAAGCAAGAGTGTCTAGCAAAGAGGGTCAAGATAGAGTGTCTAGCAAAGAGTGTCAAGAAAGAGTGTCAAGCAAGAGTGCCCAGCAGGAATGTCTAGCAAAGAGTGTCCAGCAAGAGTGTCCCGCAAAGAGTGTCAGGCAAGAGTGTCAAGAAAGATTGTCTAGCAAAGAGTGTCAAGAGAGAGTGTCAAGCAAGAGTGTCCAGCAAGAGTGTCTAGCAGAGTGTCAAGCAAGAGTGTCCAGCAAGAATGTCTAGCAAAGAGTGTCCAGCAAGAGTGTCCAGCCAACGTGTCAAGCAAGAGTGTCTAGCAAAGAGTGTCAAGAAAGAGTGTCAAGCAAGAGTGTCCAGCAAGAATGTCTACTGTAGCAAAGAGTGTGCAGCAAGAGTGTCCAGCAAACGTGTCAAGCAAGAGTGTTAAGATAGAGTGTCTAGCAAAGAGTGTCAAGAAAGAGTGTCTAGCAAAGAGTGTCAAGAAAGAGTGTCAAGCAAGAGTATCGTGTCAAGAGTGTCCAGCAAGAGTGTCAAGCAAGAGTGTCCGCAGGGCTGGGGAGGTGCTGGCGCTGCTTTAGTTGATGACTCTGCGAGTCATCTCCGAAAACAAGAACGCTTTGAGTGCTACGCTTCTATACAAAGTGACTGCGTTCGGGTTCGTGGGTTCTATCAGGTTTTTTTTGGTGGCCTATGTCCAGCCATTGAGTCGTCGAACTCAAAGCAAAGCTCATGGGCAAAACCCTTGATTCTGCTTCTCCGGGAATCTGCGATCATCAATACATGAAGACTGATTTGCGGACTGAAAAATGAGGGAAGCATAGAGTTCCGGGAGTCTCCCTGGAGAGGGAGAGGCGTCAGCGACTCAATGTGCTAGCTCGGCGAACGTAGCTGTCGGGTGAGCCACGGGTGGTCGCCTTTCAACTCCCAACCCGTCGGAGTCGTGTGGAGTGACCGGCAACTAGGCGGTGCTGCGCTGCCCTGCAGGCTTTCAGGAGGACGGATGACATGTGCAACCCGCACGGAAGACATGAAGACATGGAAGATGAAAAAACACAGATTCATCTTCATGAGAAAGCAGAAGAGAGGAGGATTCAGTGTTTGTATAAAGGCAAAGTTATGGAAAGCAGCGGCTCCCACATGCATTGAATTGTATTCAGCTCACTGTTTGCTCTTGATTTGAACCCGTTGCTGCTTGACTTCCAGTGCTGCTTGATCCGCTTCGGCTTCTGCAGGACCGCGGCTTTCTGTATGATGCTGTACAAAGGCCAACCGGCTAATTTGGCTAATTAATCGTATCGCGCTCACACATCGGGTCTTGATTTGACCATCACCCATGGGGTTTGTGTCAAGAAAACGAGGTGAACATACCACTGTGCCTTTTTTGACTACTTCGCTCCACGCAGAAACGGCGATGCCTTGCGTTTCATGGACGAAATCTATCGCATCTCGGCGGCATTGGACCTCGTTTTGATGGCGAATCCATGGCGTATTTGGCGATGGATGGATAAGACACGATAAGACACATTGACCCCCAATCAGCCACAAGCAAAGAGGCTATGACCATGCGCTGGTCCTTGCAGCGATCCAGAATGTCTGGAACCGAGTTCGGGCATTATCCGAGGGACGAAGACGAAGCTGAAGCGGTTGATGAAAAGTTGGTTCCAGGAATTCACCCAGGAGCCCCTAGTAGCGTCCTTGGTGGTTCCAGGATTTCACCCAATGCAGAGTTCTCGAAGATGTTCGTCTTTGTCGAGCAGTTGTTTTGTGTTCCTGATTCACGTTCATGAGGTCGGATCGAACAGATTCCGTTGTTGTTCTTTGACCTATTGGCATACCTTTGAGAGTAGACTGGTTGTAGACATTTTGATTGTAAGGGTTACTTTTCCATGTTTGTACTTCAAGCACTTCTTCACCCCGCAGCCGCTATATAAATCGCTATATACTCTTTACATATTTATATAAGCACATCTTTGAAGCGGTGCAGTAAGATCAATTCATTGTAATTCAATGACACCAACCTCACTTGTTCGTTTGTTGAGTAAGGACGGCACTGCTCTTCGCTATGCTGGCGAGTTCATGCGGCAAGATCGGCGATTTGTGCTTGAAGCTCTTCGTTGGGCTCTTAGTTCGGCTTGCCGACCCTTTGATCTGCCCTTCCAGTCGTGAAGTGAGGTCAAAATGCAACAGCCCTTCCATATGTGCCAGAGGAGCCATTTGAGACGAGCCGAACAGACAAACATTTCATGTAGATGTTTTACATGAACATTAATCGGTTTAAATTCACAGTCAAAGATGGCCGATCACAAAATCCATTTCACCCTGGATACTCAAACTGAACATCAAAACGCAAGGATGTTTTCTGGACTTTTTGACATTGACAATCAGTTAAGGGCGATAAGGTAAACGTCAAGTGAGTATCCAATATTATCATATATCATCCAATAATTGGTAGCGTTGTCACTGGTCATCTCTCCAGGAGTTTTGGCAAGATCGATCGTTTCTGCTCGCTGCTGCTCGTCGAAACCCAGAAGCTCTTCTCCAGGTTGACGAGGAGTTCCGAGTCTTTTCTACTTCCACTGATGGGGGGGAGGGATATGTTCGAAGGTTGAGTCTGTGTCCAACGTGCTTCGGGCCTAAAGGGTGCTAAAGGGGGGCATCTTTGATCCCTGCTGGGCCTCGCTGAATTGACAAGCAGGCGCTCCGCAAAGACCGGAACTTCATGCTGGCTGCAGTGGGCGAGCGCGGAGAAGCCCTGGCCTCCTGTGTAGCTCCCTGAGCAATTGAAACAATTGCCAGGCTGAAGAGAAGAGTAAAAACGCTAGAACGTTCCATATCATCTCACTCAGGCATCAGTTTTGCTGGAACATCAGGACTTTCTCCTGCAAGCCATCGAGGCTGAGTCGTTTAGCAAATGAGTCGTGTAACGTCGTCCTTTGGTACCGTCCAGGTCCGCCCAGAAGCCTTCGCACATTTGCCGGAGGAGTTCAAGAAGGCCAGATGCTGCACAATTGGTCTGCAGGGAAAACAGATTGCAGTGAGCCACCTACTCTGCCATCCTGACCCATCCTGCTTGGCGCCAGATGTCAGGATCCAGACTTTGTGGTGCTCCCAGCCTTCAAAACGGAATACAAAGAAATTGCAAAACATCAAAGCAACAAACACAGTTTACCACTGGTGTTCCGGCAATGATGAGACGTAGCAACAGGATAGCAGCGGTGGTGGTGGTGGTGGTGGTGGTCGTGGTCGTGGTCGTATGAGTAGTCGTAGTCGTAGTCGTAGTCGTACTCGTCGTCGTACTCGTCGTCGTACTCGTCCTCGTCGTCGTCGTCGTCATCGTCGTCGTCGTTGTTGTTGTTGCTGTTGTTGTGGTGGTGGTGTAGTAGGAGGAGTAGGAGTAGGAGTAGGGAGCAGCAGCAGGTGGGTGGGTCGGTGGGTCGGTTGGTCCTCCAAAGGATAGGCTCATTACCTATCATCTTGCCCCGCTCTTACCACTGCTGCTGCTGCTGCTACTACTACTACTACTCCTCCTCCCACTCCTCTTGCCACTACCACTACTGACTACTTATTTCTTGCTGCTTGCTGCTTGCTGCATCTCACTACTATTTATTTATACTACTGTCTAATGACTTAGGCCAACGTGATGCAAGTGACATACCAATCTGGCTACCCCCAGGGCTAAGTCATGTGCCCTGACATATCGAGCTTAAAAAAAGGTCTGGGTTGGGAAACCTGGTGTCATAGGACCTGTGGACACCTCCTCGAGCTAAATAATGCTAGATACCACTGCCTGGCACCCTGGTGACACAGTGGTGACATAGGGTGCGACTATGTGTTTTTGCGGGCGCTGCTTCCTTGAATACCTCATACATATTTCTATGAATATCATGGTTGTGGCCTGATGACATAGGCCTTAAGAGGAAATGCCAATGTTGGATCAATCTTGATGACATAGGCGTGTATGTCCGACAAGTCCTAAGTTACTAGTCAGTAGTATATAACATTTTATTGCTCCTTATTACTGCCTGCTACTACCTACTGCTACCGTACTACTACCTACTACCTAAGGCCCTAAGAATCCGGGCCCTCAAATATAGGGTTTTGAATTTGAAGGCCCGGACCACTGCTATTACTACCTACCTACCGGCCGACCACTCTTCCTTTGTGTGTGTTTACTGGGTGATTTTGTAGAAATAGACTGATCATGGCTCAATTTGCCTTTTCCGGGCCACGTGCCCTGAGGTTCTTGCTGCTTTGAAGAGAAACGGAGCAGCTCTACGCTTCGCTGTTGAGCCTTAGAGGGATGGGGGTGCCTGAGGGTGCAGTGAAGCATACAATGACACAATCTGGTGCGACCGGCTCCAAGTCGAAGACTTGCTCCCTTCCGAAAGAAATGCATAAAAATAGGCTTCCCACCTTCATAATCTTCATAGAAGAGGCAGCGACCGTAAGTACGAGAATGTCACCAGAGCAAGAGGAGAAAGGAGAGACAGTCGAGACGCAAGAGGGATGGAAAGAGGGAGCAACTCCACAGTATTTTTGAAACTGTCCTTGAGGCCGAAAGGTTCCGAAAAGATCCGGCAGTGGTTTTGGCAGCAGTACAGAGAAAGCCAGAGGCTGGTTGGCCATGTCGGAGAGTCTACGGACACTATCCCGCGGGTCCAGAAACAAATCAATCGGCTTGGTGGGCGAAAGTCGGATGGATTCAGTTCTCCTTCTCGGCTTGGCAGGCCTTGCGGCATGCTTCGGAGGAGACCGGCTGGTCTACGAGTGAAAAATCGAAGTACTATCACTTTCCAATTACAATGATTGAATGATTCAACGGAACGATCATTGATTCCACTGCTGACCCGATCAGGAGCTCCGCCACAATCATGACTTCGTGCCATGTGCTCAATAGAATTTGATTGGAACAAGAAGCTACTAGTAACAAGGTTGATGTTCACGGTTTCTCGCTTCCGACTTTAGGCTTTCAGCGGTAAGATCCAATGGAGCTGCCTTAGCCCATGCAGGACAGATGCATGTCGGCTTTGTGTTGGAGAGATTGGCCGCTTAAGACACGTGTTCGAATCCATGCCCAGTTCAACCTGGGGTGGGCTGGGTCAAGCGATCTGCAGGATCTAAAACAACATGAACATTGGTTCACTGTTGGATTTTGTTTTGCTAATGGCTGCAACCATGGTCAACCGATTTGACTGGAAGTCTTCGCGGCAGGAAACGAAATGCGAAGCGACCGCGCGATTGTGTTGGCAGCAGTGAGAAGGCGCGATCTTCGTGGTCGGTTTTACTCGTTGTATTGATTGGAGCCACCTCTGACGATTCACAATGCTTTGTCAAGCACTTCAATCAACACGTTGTGCATTTGCAGTAGCGGCTCCCAGCAAGAGTCAAGATACTGTGTAGGATGTGTTTGTTTGATGTCAGCCGAATCGAACATTTGCAGATAGTCGAATGTATACCAGCAGGGAAGAGCTTTGCCCATCAAGTCCTCTTTGATATGACACGTTGTCCTATGCATCCCCAACTTGAGTAGAGCCCCCACTGCGCGGGTCAGAAGAGTAGAAGAGCCATTGGTCCTGATCATATTGTAGCTGCCCCGATTGCCATGAAGTTGAAATGGACTGAAGTGTCGGGCTTTTGGGTGGCTCATCTAGAGTCCCAAAGCCAAAAGAAGAGGCGTGTGGACTTGGACGGCTATCGCGACCTCAAGAGTTGCGAGGTCCCCCCTGCAGTGCTGTTGGTCGCCGATGGAAATGGATGGACACATTTCGGTAGTAATTAGAATTCTAATTAAATTCTTATTGTTACTACCAGTAAGGCACTTGTTCCTAGTAGCGTGGCACTTGTTCCTAGTAGCCCTGACGTCCTCGTCGTTGGGTCCAATAAGGCCACTCGTCAGCAGGTCGCCCAGCTGGTAAAGGACAGTTATGGTGGCCATGGCAGCCATGGTTTCGCAGAGTCGCAAAGTTCGGATGTGGTGGTTGCGAAGAGTGATGGTGGAGTCATGGCATGGGTCGAAGATGGGAATTTGAAGGTACAGGCTGACAGGTATCATCCTAAGGGGGCCGATCCTGACTTGATCCTGGCAGAGATTCGCAGAATAACAAGAGCCGAACGATGTGAGTCATTCGATGCTTGTGTTCGCCTTGAAGGTCTGTGGTGGAGTCCTGGCACACATGCCGGGAGGCAGCAGAGTTCTGACAGGTGCCTGGTACTGTCCCGACTACGCGAGCTTGGTTGCAAACGATTTGTTGGTTCCCTCACTCTGGCCAAAAATGACCTTGATGATTGCTTCCTTGAAAAGCTGTGCAGGCTACTGTGGGAAACGGGGTCCACCCTTGAAGCTATAAACCTGGATGAAAACAGAATCACTACAAACGGCGTAGTTCGGCAGCTGTCTAAGCTCTCAGCGCTTACAGCGAAGCTGAGTCTTAATAACAACGCCATAGATCAAGTCCATTTGGTGCGGGAAGAAGCCCGCCAGGTCAGGATTGATTGTGAGGTGTGGCCCGATTGGACAGAGGAGAGTGGACGAGAAGCTCTCAACGATCAGGATTCTTGGTGGAAGTACTTCTATGGACCAGTGCAGCTCTTGCGCGCCAAGATTTTGGACCTTCCACGCGAACTGCCGATGGTGGAGTGCCCAATTTGCGAGAAGGTGTTGAAACACGACACAAGCAACAGGCCGGCGATCCAGCATGATCCAGCCTACACAGTGGCAGGAAACTTGGCCACCCACCTTTGTGGAGCTCCCCACAGGAAGAAACTGAAGTGGCTCTCCGAGTCGTTGGAGCACACGGACTTGCCAAATATCATCATTGTGTCGCCGCGCTGGAGCATTTTTTGTCCATCCTTTAAGCGGCCAGCTGCGAATGATCTATCAACATGCTACCACTGCGCCGCCCGACCCAGTGGAGGGCACAACGGTAGACGTGGAGCCTGAAGCGATGGCTGTGCGCGCTGCCATTTGGCGTGAAGGACAACAATTGATTGCCAGTCAGCCAGAATCGTTGGAACTGGCTTGGTTTGGGCAATTCTGCAGGAACAGGCCAGCAACAAAGTTAAGATTGAGGAGGACCTGGACGTCCGATACTTGGAGGTTGGGCAGATTGGGTACACGGTACACGCAAGAAAACATTGTGCAACCTTCAAAGATGGCAGGCTCTTGGAGGATTTGATCGAAGACCTTGATCAGGGTAGAGTGGACCCACTTGTACATCCAAAGCTCCGACTTGAGGTGATTGAAAGGAATGGGCGCTTCTTCAGCAATGACAATCGGCGCCTTTTTTGCTTCAAGAAACATGAGGAACATGTGGGCTACAATGTGAAGGTTGCAGCAAGAGTTTATTATTGGACACAGGCCTTTGCTCGCTATTTGTCTCGCTGGCCTGAGAGGCAAAGAAGGGTCGGTGACGACCCAGACTACATCCGAATACGGAGAAAGAGTTGGCAGAATTGGTAACCAAGGGTTGCAAAAAGGACATTGCAAGGGCTGGTGCTTGAGTGTGAAGTTTGATGGGCGAAGATGTTTTTTGTAAATTGCAAAAGCTGATTGGTCGGAAGCTAGTTCTGCCAAATCTTTCAGCATGGCCCAAAATCCGTCATAAGGCATTGTGCCAACCAAGCTTCATGGAGATTCACAACAGAAGAGGGGTACACGGGCCTAGGCCTAGGCCTAGTCTTGCTTATGTTTTGTTTTTTGTAGTCCTTTATTATCCGTACTGGGCGGGTGCCAGTGGACATGTGGTGCAAGGTAGCTTTACCATTGTGGCCAAGCTGGGGTCCAGCAGAGTACTATTAACATCCTTCTTGAAGCAGGATAGGCCACAAGTCTGACAAACTTGCTAACCAGACCAAGGGATAAAGAAAATGTATGTGACCTCATAGGAGCAGACTCGGATGACACCGTCTATTTACAGAACGCCTTTGGAAAACTCTGACCAACCAAAATTGCCCCTACAAATTCTCACTATTTTCTCTTCATCGTTGCAAGGCTTTGTAAGACTCTAAGACCTCGCAGCCTCCAACGAATGCGGCCCTCAGGGATGGTGTGGCCTTGGCGTATGCCTCCGAGGAGCTGCGAGGGGATGCGGAGATCCTCGCCGCTGCGGCCCTTTGGATGCAGAGTCGGAGTGTGAAATCAAGACCTAGATGATCTGGATGGCCAACCAGGAGAATGACTGACAAACAGAATGGACAATTTTTTTTGTTTTCACATACCTCATCATACCTCTAAGAATGCATAGGACCCTGGGGCCCGTTGCAAGCAAGGTCTGGGATGGTTGGCCCATCAATTGCAGACCTTTTTTCCGCAGCGTTGTGGTCCTTTTGAGGTCCTTCAGCACGTGTTGTTTTACTGTTTGATTTGACCTTGCTTGTTCGGTGTCGCAAGCTGTTGAGTGCCTGGACGGGTGCAAAACACAATACTCATCTTACATATAGAGAGGTTCCGTTGCATTTTCTTGGAAACCGGGGGGTCCGAAATGGGTTTCCCACACCCTGCACCGGGAACAGTAAACACTGCCCCCAACCCCCAGGCCCCTCACCAGTTAAAGATGCTATGAACATGAATGTTTTCTATTTGGTGAACTTATATCGTGGTGCTATTTTATCCCAGCCCTTTGCATGTCCGTGTCACCCCCTTGAAAACCCACGGGTGGGTTTTTCTGAGACCCTGGGCATTTTGATCACAGGCAGCGAGAAACAAGGTCCCAGTCCGAGGTTTACCTGGAACTCCATCGGTGCATATCTGTGGAGCACCGAAGTTTCTACTCCTTTCCGGTCTCAAGTCACACCAACAATTGATATTTTTTAGTAAAGTAATTGTCAGATTCCCAAGTATATACATCTTGACATTTAGGAGCTAGAGTCGTAGTTCTTTTGGTTTTATGGCTTTAATGCCAGTCTTTTTATTCAAGACGCTTCGCGTCGACAGCCGCCCACACCGCGCACGAACAGCCGAAGTTAGTGAAAGTGCAGCCATCTAGGTGCCAGGTTGGCTGTCTTACGGCTGCGTTGGAGCCATCTTGGGGCCAACTTCGTCTACCTTGCGGGCCAAAAGCCATCCAAAAATACACCTTCATCTACCTTGGAGCCCATAATGGTGATACAACTTCGGCGTCGCCAAAAGCCATCCAAAAATACACCTCCAAAACGCTCTCCCCAGTGGCCGTGCAGGCCGAGCAACAATCAACGCAGCAACCACACCAAAACACAAAAACTCCTCCAAAACGCTCTCCCCAGTGGCCCTGCAAGCACGACGTAACGAAAAATCATCCAAAAATGTACCTCCAAAGCGCTCTCCCCAGTGGCCCTGCACCCCAACCATAGCCGCGCACGCGCGAACCCCCCCCCCTAGCAAAGCTATTCCCATAGCAGAGCTTAAGAGCCCCATAGCACGCCCTGCAGCGACAAGCGGTGTGGGCGGATTTGAATCTGTTCATTTAGATTCGCAAAGGTTAACATTTTCAAGGCTTTGAAAAGCAGCACTTTAGACACATTTTAGTGGGGGACCTAGAAGTGCTGCAAAGCATCCGTGGACATTTTGATTTCAATCGATTACGGGCTGGATTTGACGAGAACCGCTCCAAAAACACAATTTTTTTCTTGCATGTATATAGCTGTTTCATGCTGTTTCAATATTGACGCCGTGCAATCGCAAACTTTGCCACTTTGGTCTCCACAGTAATGCAAAGTCAGGATTAATAAACCTCCCCTAGTTAATCCGAGCC